TCGTTTCATGTTTGAAGTGATGAGTAATAGTTATATAAGATATGTGTGCAATGTATGTTCTAAATTTAATCCAGTTAAATGCCGTTCAAATTCTGATTATGTATAGTGCGATAATGGAACCATGATCAAATTCGCAAAAGACTGCTATATATTCCAGTATTGTGTTTTGTAAAAAAATGTTTTAATTTTGTTTGTTGCAAAAAAAAAGAGGAAGAAAAATTTACGTCATCAGATTGATTGTGATCGCCATCAAGGAAGAGTGAATTGTTAAGTGCTTCGACCAGTGATGATCGTTTACGAATATAACCATTGGAACTGTTCTGAAGATTCAAATGAAAGGTTCTCAACAATTATCATTTATTATTTCCATGCTGAATGATTAAGATTAAATATTATAAAATTTCTAAACATTTTGTCCGTGATTAAGATTAAATATTATAAAATTTCTAAACATTTTGTCCGTGTAGTAACTTTGTTTAGAAAGTCAAGTTGGTGAGCAAACTAAATAAGCAAATAAATAAAGGTAAGTGCGTCAAATAAGATTGATAACACAATTTTGAATTATCAAGTAATTAAACAGGCAAAGAACCAAATAAGTTGGCGGTAGAATCATGAAATGAAGATTCTGCTGGTTTGCTGCGGCAACAATAATCGGATCGTAGGAGCGAATTGTGGAAAGAAAATGAGTTGTTGAATGGTGTTGCTCGTCGACCTGATGCAAAATTTTAATAACAAGATTTGTTATTCAATCAAAATTACAAACCAATACATTAAAGGAAGAAAATGTAAACATTACACTTAGCATAAAATAAAAGTGTAAGCGTTTAACTGTAAGCAAGTAAGTTGAGACAATACCAATAGATTCATCTTAATCCACTTAAAGAGGTCAAAGATGTAAAACTGCTTTAAAAAGTGCGTGAAAAAGAGAAAAGCCTTCACAGTTCTATCAATTATGTGAATGTCGTAGTATCAAAAAAAATTTCAGTTAACGATATCAATTTCTTTAAGCCAATTTCAAAATTCCGTTAAATCAAATTCATTTCATCCAGCATATTTTATCGGCTCGTTTCTGATTAAAACATATGTAAATAAACATGTAAGAATAGCTAGATGTAAGGGTAATATCAACAAGTGCATAAAATCAAAAAGTGATGGGAAAAGGAACATAACAATATGCATCTAATCTTGATATTGCTAAAATCATTAAATAAAATTTAATTAGGAATAACTTTTTCAGAAAGTTCCAAAAAATATTGGAAAAAAAGGTATTGAAAAATATTTGAAATGACTTGTTTTCAAATAGTAACCACAGAAATTTTGTTAGTGAAAAATGGCAATTTTGTATCTACTTTGTGACAAATTAAAAAAAAAAGGAAAATCTATTCTGGGAGAGAAAGTTTTTAACTGGCAAATTTTCTTTCTTACTTGTTTCCATATTTATCAATATATAAAATATGACCCTGATATAACGGATAGTTGGAATAAGAGTTCCTCAATCCTTCTCTTTTATCTCTTTTTCTTGTGTTTGTTTCTTTTGTTCAAACCTTTCATATGGATATATTTTTAACTGATAAGATTATAAGGATCAAGAAAAGCTTCATAAGAAGTATGAAATTATTAATCACTTGGAAAGTATCGTAATTAGAGCACAATCAGAACTTTGCTATGGTAAGGAACAAGATTGTAATTCAAATTTAAAATAAGTATGGGTGGTATAATTAATTCTATTTTGATTCTGTTTCTCTTTATTTTTCAAAAGACATTAAAATAGTATTATACAAAAATGCCTCTACTCTTTTATATGTTAGAAAACTATATCCCATCAAATAAGCTGTAGATATAATCACCAAATTATTTAATTAATTTATTTTTAAATTGTCTTCGGATTTTAAATTTGCAAAATTATGAAGAAGCGAAATAGATATTAATAAAATATGCAAAGAAGTGGACAAATGACCAGATGAAGAGAGCAAAATAATATGTTTGCTTGGTGAGATGAAAATCAATTATCATTAAATTGTCTTATGAATGACTATTAACACTGCCCACATACATTTATCAATGGTCCATTATGATAAGTCTTTTTCGGTATACTTCAAACAGCAAATAGGGACCTTCACTCGCGTTTCTTCGTGATCTGACCTTTGATATAAATCTTAAACACCTATTAACCGACATTTGCGGTGAAGTAGAACACCCTTAAGTGTTTCCAAATTCTTTCATATCCACTCTCACTAATTTAATCAAATATCCCAGTAAAATAAGGTGCTCGCGAACAAGACAAGTAAACATCACAAATTAGAAACTAATCAACTGCTCTATCGTAGCAAACTGCAAATTTAGTCTATTCTTTACCTTTTGTAAATATATGACAAATATCCGATGTTAAACTAAATCATATCTTTCTATTCCCCTTAACTACTTTTACCGACAGTTTCCATTGTAAATATTTCGTCACCAGTTTATAAAAATTTATAGATTAATGATTTTCCAAGAATATTTAGCTGTTTCTTCCTGCAAAAAAACTAATCACAAAATACGAAGTGCAAGTTTGAATTACTGATAGAAAATCTAAAAGTCTGTCATTTACGATTTATAAATTTATTAATTTCATTCAAATTCACAAACAACATAAAATTTACCTATATCGATTCAAAAGATTTCAATACAACAATAACAATTTTTATACGACCAGCAATATTTCTGTACTCCGACTCAGGCAAAATGAAAATGAAAGGTTAATAGAACTTGAGGAATGAGAAGGAATGAAAAGTTAGCAACTTATTTCCTGTGTAAAGTTATTAATTAGTGAAAATTAAAAATTTTTAAATTAAATATCGAGACTATTCTTCGAAAGTTATCAAGAAAAACAGAATCCCGCGTCCTTTTAGATTTTCGGCCTTGTTCTTATATCAGTGCATGAATTTTCAGTCATGAGCTGATATTACTATTAAATTCTAAAATAAAGCGATCAATCTATAATTTCTGATAATTCCCTATAAAGTGCCATTTTTGAAGCTTGTTTTATTTTATTCTTACCGAAGGTGCTATTTAACAAAAGCTATGATCTTCATAAGATCAGATCACCTATTTTTCGAATATTCCCTGCATATAGTGAACATATTACCAAGCTAGTACAGGTCTTCTTTCCATTGACTTAATTTCTCTTCATCGTACTTCCTAATTATTACCCTCTAATTCATTTCACATTTTCAAGTACTAAAGTCACAATATTTATTAGCGCCATTACTAAAATTATCTTAATATTAGATAGAGGTCATGTCAAAAATTCTACGCTTGACTTGTCGTCGATGCTCTTAGTCTTGTTGTTGCTGTTCTTATTATATCATTAACTACCATTTGAACTTCGTGTTTTCTGGGTTCACAACCCAGGATCTATCGATCTCAGATCATCCAGTCGTATTCGTACCTAAATTATGGATTTTTGAGAATGGAATTCATCAAAATAGCTGCTCAAACTATCGAAACTAACCTGGCAGCTATTATTATTTCAATGCGTAAGAAGTTTCTCAGAATTTACATAAGACAAAAATGAGCTGAAAAGACTTATTTCTCAGCAGCGATCCAAAAAAAGGTATATTTTAGTTTTCAGAAAAAGAGCTAAACAGGAAACAGTGAAAGAATTTTTTGTTTTGCAAAAAAAGAGAAATATTCTCCGGACGTCTGGACGGAATATTTTTCTGAAAACCTATTTCTACTTTCTAATGTTTCTGATTGTTTTCCAAATATATAGGAAAAAGTGAACCCTTTCATAGCGAATGAGAGGCAGCAATCCTTTTGATCAAATAATGTACATGTAAATATATTTTTCGCCTGAGTTTGTATATTTTGATAATCTCTTCTATATATTTTTTGATAATATATTTTGATACATATACTATATATATATATATTTTGATTCTTGAGCGCGTCTAGCATTTAAAAAGGGTCTTGAGTGAGTTTCCATGAAAATGAATATATTTCGAAGCGCATAGTAAGCTGATAATTTATGCTTGTCTAAAAACTGTGCCATCTGTTTCAGTTTGAAGTCGAGGTAGTTTAAGATGAAAGTCGCAAAGTTTTGCAAGATAGGCCCAGATAAAGATGCACAGATAGGTAAGGTCATCGAAAATAGTAATAAAAATGCAAAGATTGGCAAATATTGTGATAAGCATAAAGATAATACTCATGCGGAGATGTCGCTGACTATCCAAAATAAATTCACTTTAGCTAACATCGGATGTTTTGGCTAAGTCGTAGCTGTCTTGGCTACGTGGCTGCTGAATCTCCTCGCCGCAAAGCTGACCGCAACAAGTACATGTATGATACACTACACCATCACTATCTATCACCATGTAATAACACAGATCGGAGTATCCTATCCTTTAAAAGGAAACAACAATAAATGACGCATGGTTTTATATTCTGTTCAGTTTTGGCCCTCCTTTCTTGCTCTGGGCTACTATATTTTTATTGCGATCTCTTGACCGAATGTGATTTTGTGACAATTTCTAAGTACCGTGCGAACAATAAACAAAATAAGGAATATTGATCTCTCTTCCTCCTTTTCACCTTACAGCTGAAATACGAATTTGTTTTTGACATGTATAATTTTTTTATACAGAAAGACAAGAATTTTTATTTTTCCTTTTAATCCTTGGGAAAATACCTTGTCGCTTTTCATCAACTACCCACACCTTACTTCCTCTTAACAGGACAGAAAGATATAGAAGAAATGTCATGTGAAAATGTTTCTCATCAATTTCATATCACTCTTTTAAAGGCATCAAAAAGGAATTGTCAAACATAATTTGGTCAAAAGACTATCTTCCAAGCTTAGCATCAAAAAGCTAGGAGAATAACAACAATTTCACTCGATATGAAGTCAATGAAAGAATTTTTAAACTACAAGGATAGCAGTTTATCATTCATTACTCATTTCCATTGCCAAATGTTAGAAATTTTTTCGCACTTCAAGTTACAACGACTTCACGTGTTCTTTACTTCTCTTCAAATTTTGAAAGACTGAAGATACATCTAAAATTTCTTGGTAGAAATAGTTAGAAATTAGGAATAAATTTAAAGTAAATTGAAAGAATGTAGTTGAAACGAAGAAAATCAAACAGAAAAGATCCAAGTTAACGGATTATGTTGTAAAGATTAAGGTTTATACTTCTTTAACAATAAAAAAAATCTTTATAATATAATCCGAAGTGCCACAATGCCTTTAATGTTATTTCTGAAAGGATATCAGGAAAATAAGGCCATTGACACCAACTTACATATGCAATAGGGTCATTTTAACGGTATTGTGAGCGCTTTTCCCACGTGCATACGCAAAGATTAAATGTATTGTGATACTTTCTACATTGCAAATACCAAACAGCAATCAGTCATTTAAACTCAGTTAAAAGTTACATGTTGAAAATGACGGAAAAAGTAGAGTGGGAATTAAGTAAAAAAAGAAAAGTGAATGTATGGAATTGTAAATAAAACAATAAATAATATCTTACTGATAGCAAACATCTCCATTTACACAAGTAATGCTCATTTCGGTTGATTTTTGTTGTAGGGGATAAACTCGAACATATTTGCAGTTCATGATGGCATTATTTCTTCTACATATATCTGGCCAAGTAATAGATTCCACCCATTCATTAAATTGTAGGTTTTATTACAGTCTAGTATAAGTTTATAACATTTACCATCCAGTGGGATCCAAAACAGTGCATAGATTTCGAAAAACAAGCGCATTCGTATACATTAAGAAAGGCAATGAATGTTTTAAATGAAAAATGAATATTTTATAAATTAGTTTGTCAAATTATAGGCAAATTAGTTAAATAGTATAGAACAATAGTAGTCGCATAGATGGAAATGTATGGATGTTGATAAAAAGCAGTTCTTGTTTGAATGTACATAAAGCGGACAGTTTAAGCCCAGAAATGGACAGCAGTAGTGCAAAGCATCAAGTACCAGCAGGCGCAAAAGTATAACCAACAGTCAAAATTTGAATTGAATATTTATTTTTTTTTTGGTTCATGCTTAAATATCAACAAATTTGACCAAGGAGCTTATTTGATGATGAATAAATGGTTGGGGCGACAAGAACGCAGTTGAAATATTCTTGATGATGCGAGGATGATTAACAAGCGAATGAATGGGTGAACTAAATTGAATCAAACTGAACTGAATGGGTAAAAGTACTTAAATGGCTTTTCTCACTTCCTTTGGAGAGGAAAGGAAACACTCAACTTCTCTATCCAATAATTGAAAAAGAATGAAGGTCAGATCATCGAATTCTTTCGGAATCCACATCTGTTCGATAAAATTTTGAGTTTAACATTCCCTCTTTGATATAAAGACATATAAAAGATAAAAGTCCAAAAAAGTCTCAGAGAATTGCTAAACTTTATTTAAAATAGGATATATATATATATATATATATATATAATTACATCTAATTACACTCCTGAAATTCTGCTATCACCAAACTTTCAAATTAACAACTTCCAGAGAAGTGTACCTATAGTTGCACAAATGCAAAATCAATAATATAGAAAAAACAGAAAAGTTCATATATTACAGTCAGTATGTTTGAAAGCGTAAACTTAAATTTGATCAAGGCATAATCAACAAAGTTAATAATATGAAATGATAAATTTTATATAAGAAGTGCCCGTAAAATTTCATTAAGCAACAATGATCAGACTGTTTTATTAAAATATTTCCTTTTAAATGATGAACAACTTCTAAAAAATTTAAATTTTGGATGCAAGCGATATGCAGACCCTGATTGATAATTTCATCAAAAATTGAAGATACTAACCAGTTGTGGTGAAATTGCAAAAGAACGGAATGTGTCCCAATACATGGTCTTCAACAACCGAAATATAGTAAAATAATAGATCGCTCACGGGATATATTAACTTTCTACCTGAAGTTAAACTAAATCAATTGTATGTGAACAAAGCCTAATTTCCAAGAGGTTCATAAAGGAACAAAAAAATAGATAATTCTGTTAAAAAATTTTGCACAACAAGTGATGTAAATTGAAATACTTCCCAAATAGTAACATAACAAACATTGTAGGCGTAGACCAAGATAAAGGTTAAGTAAATTAATAGTAATTAAGTAAATAAACAAGTAATGAAATAGTCTCTTAGGTTGTACGCAGCTAATCTCTTTTTTAACATTTAGAAATTTAGGGTCACTTGGAGGAATTATCAAGAAAAAGCTTTTAGTTCTTCTGATGGCAATTAATGTGCGGTATATTATTATATCAGAAGGCGCAAATGCAAGCAGATGAAGTGCAGCAGTGAACTGATAAGCAGGTGAAAGACTTTTTCTTTATTCTGTCATTAGTAGCGATGAATTTTTCCAATTATATCAGTTAATGTTATATGTCAAAATTAACACATTTCTAAATGTCAGTTCAGAACTGTCCCAGAAACTAAATTCTCTCTGATATCAAATTACTTCTTGAATTCTAGGCATTTCCACATTCTTTGCATAATTTACGACAGAAGACGGGAAGAAGTGGGATAAAATTTAAGAATCAACGACTTAAATTTTATCCTAATTCCTTAATCTATTACTGAAATTCTAATGAGACTGACTGGTCCTGCATAAACTTTGAATACCTTTATACACTTTACTAAATTTAAAAGAAAATCGCTAAATCGCAATTGCAGAAATGATAATTTGGAAAAACTTTTTTTGAAAAGATAGATTTTTTGCAAAAAGGAAAAAAATGAGGAAACAAGGGAAAAAAATATGTAGATCAGATAAACTTCTGGGAAATGCAAATAACGGTACGTTACGAGTTCACTACTGTTTACCTTTTCCTTTAGCACAGCACAATTAAACTGAATCAACTCTATAAATCTAAGTACTTCTAATAAAAGAAGTAACTGGATGAGATTTTTTGGAAAAATCATTTTGAGAATTAGACTTGTTAAATATAAGTGGTCAACAATTGATGAGAGATCAACGTCACGTGCAACGTGCAGTATAAGATACAGAAATATGAAAGGAAGAATGTTAATTACCATCTCAGGAATTAAGGCTTAGATCTTCACCGATACAACAGATCCATTTCTCTCTGAAATGAATTTGTATGAAATTTAAACAATGCAATGTCGATGAGTAAATCGAGCACTTAAATATTCTCTCGAATAAGGACCAAATAGAACAATATTCACTATAAGCTCAATAGTTCATTGTTTTAGGAACTAACCATGAAAATACCTGGAAACTGTGCAATGAATACAGATCCTTACTCATTTGACAGAATCCCTTGCTTAAGAAATGATTGTCCCAAACGATCATTGTGCTCGAAGATGACTGCTGCTTGGAACAGTCCTCAAATTTGAGCACGCAGTATTTTTAGTTAATTTTTTTTTTTTTTTTTTATAAACAATGTAACAATGGTAGTATCAATGCATTACTTATCTTCTTCCAATAACAAATTCTTTTAGCAACAAGTTTGGATAGTAATTAGATAAGGAAAAACGGGAGTTGTATTTAGTTTAAACTCTTTAATCTATTCCTTCGAATTGTATAAAACTTGATTTCATTGCTGCAAAGTCAATTTTCAAAAGTTTAATTCCAGTATATGGAAAAATTGAATGTTTTCAGCAAAAATCTTTGTGTTTCTTTCAGTTCCTCTCAAAAAACATTGAGAAATATCCTATCAGTATATAATCAATATTATTATCATAACCTTAAAAAATAGCACAACTGTAAGTGGCGTCTATAATATCAATGCAGTGCGGTGCCATATATGGACCTTATGCAAGAAATGCAAATAGAGGACAATCACGTTAACTATTTCCTATTGGTAAATGCTTGGATTCATTTTTGTTTGCTCTTCTAAATTATAGCGGGAAAAAGTATTTTAACTGGAAATTTTTGATATAAGTATTCAGTCTATAAAATAAGCAGAAAAGATGCGAACATTTCTAAATAATTCTGAAACAGAGCTGTAAATACCTTATATTGTCATTTTCTATTTCCTAGAGATGGAATTCCTGCAATGAAAGCTCTTACTGTTTTAAAAATTAAATAAATGAGCAGAGAATACGGGACTGTTGAGGCTATTTTAAGAACTAAGGTATGATTTAAGAACTGAAATATGACAGCTAAAAACTTAACAAAGATGACATTAAAAAATGACTTATGACTTGTGAAAAAAGAAAAGAAGCAATCAAAGATATTCATTCAGATTTAAAGGGAATTCAAACAAAATGTTAATTATAACTCTTTATTCGTTCCATAACCACGAATTATTTCTTAAGTAAGACTTCATTTTCTCAAGTTTTTATTTTTTGACAATATTTCAATGGAAATTTAGAAATATCCAATAAAAAAAGCTGAAAATCCAACATTTCAATTCTCACTATTTAATTATCCATGGTTAAATACTGAAAAAATATAGCTTTTGTATATTTGATAAATGCGTTAGACTATTTTCTACTCGTTTATAATTCATGTGATAAGCGCGAATGAATTCCGTTAACAGAAAAGCGTTTCGACATTTTAATGCTAAAATGAGTTTTAGTAAAATGCACTAAATACTTTATGCATGTAATTTCTATATTTTAAAAACAAATTAACAATGTCATTTGGAATCAAAATTAAAAAGATGTTTCATAGACGAATTGATGCAGCTTATTAAATGATACATGAATAAGAAGTCAACTGGAACGAAAACAAAGTTAATTTCGATTTAGATAGTAAAGATGAACGTTCCTCTTCTATTCAAATAAATTTCATTTTAGAGAAGATCACAGTGTTTTTTTTTTTTCTTTTTCTTAATGAAGTGAATTAAAATGTGAGAAACATCGTAATAATATCAAATTAGTGGCAAGTTTATAAATGAGTGATACATAAGCTTACTGCACCAATAAACCATTTGTTTGAGTAAAAACCTGTTTCCATGGTCGCAGCTTTTCATAATTGCTCTATCAAACAACATAAATAATGAACTTTGCAAATAGTGATGTAAAAAAGATTATTAAAAAGACATTACAAATAAAACTTCATTCAAATTCTTTGATCATTTTTTATTACCCACAAATGATATTGAGTGAGTAGTAAAGAGATGCCAGTTTTATACAGCAAAGCTCAGAAATGACAAGTAAATGAAACAGTTTTCAAATCGTCACGTGATTATTATTCATTAAGGACTCATTAGCGCTACGAGGAAAAATTATGAAAGAACCTATAGAATTATTATGGAAGATCATGATACATTAACTAGCAATGGGAAAAAGATAAAAGCACCGGCTTGCAAAATCATAACAAACAGTTCGAATGAAAACAGGAAAGAGAGGGTGCAATTTTCGAAATGTCCAATCAACTCCCTATTTGTGCTTCATTTCAATTGATTTGTTACATTTCGAGCAGATGCAATCAGATAGGAACAAACATGTAAGAATAAGCAAAGCGAATAAATTCTGTTTTTCCAGGCTTATGCATTACAAATGCACGTATAAATTAGAGTTTTAATGGAATGTTCTAATCTAGTCATGCAAAAAATGACGCATAGTTGAGAACTGTAGAATTTATTATTCTTTAGACAGATTCTGACAATTTAAAAATGCTTCTTCAACAACAACAGTAAATGTCGATCTTCCATTTAAACGATAGAGCATCCTTTCTGAAACTTTGATTTGACTAGAAGGAAAATTTCTAATCAAACTATCATCACAAACAAATTATCTCATATTATCTCAAACAAGACTACTTATACATTTAGTATAGGAGTTACAAGCATGTGGTATATTCTTTGCTATTAGTGCAATTTGACACAGTCTAGAAGAGCTTTGGTTTAAGGAAATTTTGTAATTTAAGTAAAGTCACAAGCAGATCATAAACGAATTGTAGGAGACGAAGAAAGAAATCAGAAACCAGTGGATTATTGGACAAGTCACCATGGGAACCAGATAATGGAAGACAAAATAGAAAGCCAACCTTACTCAGTGGGTCAATCGAAAATATTTGTGGCGCATCCAATGCCGTTGATTCTCGCATAAAAATTTGTTAGCTCTTGAAGCATTCCGAGTATTCGAAGTTCTGGAATCACCGCTGACTCTTCTTATGCCTTGTGAAGGATAAATGTTAAAACCTTTAGTATTTAATTAATTTCTTCGCGTTTTGGCACTAAATCAGACTATTGTATTGGTGTTTTAACATTTGAAGTTCTCATATTCGAAGTTTCAGTACTTCTTCATGGAGATTAAACATAACTTAAACATAAATTCTAGCTTGGACAAGTTAGGTTAAAAAAAGGCAACAGTTCAGACCAAACATGAATGACAATTTTTTGGGGTTTTGTACATTTGCACTTCCATTGTTTATACAGATATAGATAAAGGAATTAATAGCTAAAGATATGCCGACTTATCGGATCAAAAACGGTTACACTCAAAGCTTACTACTGATCAATGACCACTGATGAAAAAATCAAGTTCTGAATGCAGAATTACGTACAGAAATTATTTGAATGCATAAAAGAATGAATAAATGCACACCACACTCTACCCCTGTATGAAAAAGCAATGTGATTGCAGAGCTCTCTGCTTGACTGCATCTAAATCTTCCATTTCAAGATTCTTTTCCTTGCGAGTTTTCATTACATACAGAAGAACCTTCACCTCCCTTCATTTAGATTCTTAATTCCTTCAATGTAACTGCTATAGTATTATTAAGCTTTCGACATGATGCATCACCTATCCATTTAGTGTATTATGCTGAATTATTTCTCCTTGAAAAAAATAGTGAATACAAAGGAATTTAATAACTAAAGGTCTTTTCAAAACAATGGTGAACTATTCAACAAACAGTTTATGAATAAACTACAAGCACTAACTTGTCTGAAAAAGTCTCTTCCTCGAAATACTTACATAGTACAAATCTAATATAAATAATCTTCCTGAAAACAAAACAAAGATTCAAAATGAAAGAAATTTCAGTACATACTTAAGACGTGAAAATTAGAATAAAGAATTTACATATATATTTTGCTCTTGTATGTACATGTAAAAAATTATGAAGATTGAAAAACCCCCTTGCGCATATATTAGATTTGTAGGTGTAGTATTATGTATTATTTTGTAGATGTTGTTGCCATACGAGAGCATAAATATATCTAACCACCGAATACTAATTAATTTTCACTAAGTACTTTCTATATAAAACCGCAGATGCATTAAAAAATGCCTTAAACAATATTAAATCTAAAAATAGCTCAGATCATCTGTTTAATATACATTCATTGGAATGTCTATATAGATCACATAAATACAGGTTACTGGTAAAAATAACCCTAATTATAGTTATCGTAATGTAGGATACGCTTATTATAATAAGTATAGATTTATGTTAATTTTTAGACTTGTAGTTTTCAAAACTAAAGATTTTGTTCTATTTAAGGTTATTTAAATTTCTCACCCTTAGTTTTTTCACTTTTTCATTATGTTTTTTTTTTTTGCTTTTTTACGTCCCTTCTTAGTTTTTTTTTTTTTTTTTTGCTTTATAATATATATATGCAACTCCTGAAAAAATGGTGATATTATTAAAATGCGTAAAACCCTGCATCATTTATATCGTTTAAATTATATTCAAGAGGAAAAAATAAATACAACAGAAGCTGGATTAAATAAAAGAAAAGTATCACAGAGGGAGAGAGAGAGGCATAACCAATATTAGATAAAAACAAGCTTTATTTTGCAAGCAAATGTTGAAGGAGCTCGTACACAGAGTTAGTGATACCCCATGATAATAGCGACCTGAAACAAACCACAATAAGTCACGAACTGTTTGAGATATTGAAAGTACAGAAATTCCAAGAATTTTATCAATCACCAGCGACGGCTTTGTTGTACTTCATTTTCACAAAATACTCCACCAGCGAATCTTCAATAACGTCTGGTCTGTTTCATTCCAGTAACTCAGATGTTCAGTTGAGCAGCAGTCTCCTCGTGTCCCAGCTATATGGCTCAGAATAATGGGATAAGATAACTTCATACTCATGTCGGAAACACGGACCAATATATCATCATCGCCATCATGAAATGATGAAACAAAGTGGGGAAACCGAACATCGAGATGCAAACCAACACATCGCTGAACAACCACTAAACCACTGGGACCTAACGAACGATCCCTACCATGAGACGGGGCAATATGTATTATTTTTCATACCTGATCGAAGCCTTATAATAGTAGAGAATTACTTCTTAGATCAGCGCGCATAATAAACTTCTAAAGAAACATAAATACCTTGTATAATTGAGGGTAATTCCACGAAACAGTTCCTTGAATGAACCATTCCGTTCAATCCAAATAATTTGGAAAGTTGCCCAAGCTGATAAAAATGGACTATTTACAGTACTTTGCATTCGCTGCTTAACCACATTTAATGGAAAGAAGAGTGATGATATAGAAGCACCAAGTACAGCACCTGATATGAAATCACCAATAAATGTCACCAACTGATCCGGTGTCCTGCGATAAAACAGTATTTTACTGCTAGCTCCGCAACATGAGAATCTAATGATTTCAATTATTTAAACAAATTCACCTGTCACTAATATAGCGGGATATGTAGTGTTGATCACAATTAATAACTAAATCACGAAATGGTTTCCTAAGCGAGAAGAAAAGGACATTACTTGAACCATTTCTCAACAGTACAACTGTGAATCCACGGTACAATTCCTTTGCTCCAATCTAAATGAATGGTAATCATAAACAATGTGTAACAAAGCAAAATATTATAATAAATTTTCTGCAGATAATATAGATAAGGTCTACTGTTTCGGTGATCGAGAATTTTCTCGGATTCAAAATGTACAAAAACGAACAAAAAGTTAATAAATAATGATTTTAAAATGCGAAAAGAGTTTTTATTATCCTTTCGGAATCAAAGAAACAGTTGACAGCTAACGGTTACTGATGAGTAAAAGCATTAACACACTAATCCTATGATGACATACCATTTCTTTTAATCGTGAACTACATTTAGAATAACTACTGATGGCACAGACTTAAAATTACCTTAGCAAGTTCTCTGAAAGCATGAATGGCATTTTGATAGCGCTGATTGTATTCCGGTGACTGCAAAAGGACCTGCGTCCGCTCCAAAGGACATGAAATAGCCTCAACCGCACCTGCTAAAAAGTTAAATGATAAAACACATTATCATCAAATATCTGCAACTAAGTAACAATGAATGACAACTTATTTCTTGACATTAACGAAAAAAAAAAAAAAAACTGCAAAATCAAATGAAATAGCACAAATTCCATACAGCTAACCCATAAATGCTGCAAACGCAAAACATGCAATACGAGTCTGCTTTGTTTGACATTCCGAGCAACCAAAATAACGATGAAATTTATCAAACATTCCGAACATTACTGATCGTGTCGTTGTTCGCTGTATAAGAGGTGGAAGCATTCCTCTGTACAACATCCAACAACCTTCATTTCTTAACTGAAAATATACTATCCTTCAACTTGATTCCATACTTTACATATATCAATATCGACTTCTTCAGATAACAATGTGCCGATTTTATCTATCTCATTCTTTACGCGTCTTCACACTTGGGCATTTAAAGAGCACATAAACTAATGGATATATACAGTTGAGAAAAGTATATTTTCTTGAACTAAATGACAGTATCATTTAAAGCCAATTTTCAAAAGTTGAACTAACCTGTTCAAAAACTTCCTTCGCAGTAATACCCTGCAGCTGTTGACGAAATATCACTTTAGTTTGAGGATAAAGCAGCAAAGTCTCAACAAAGCCTGCACCCCATCCAGCAAGGAAGTTTTGGTATTTTTCTTTTTGCATTGCATTGGAAAAATCACTCTATAATTTCTCAATAAGCACGGTTAAATAAACCCTAAAATAACTGAAAAACACAAAGGAGGAAGCGATAATGAATATTTTGGAAGTGAAACAAATTGCTATGTGTAAGCCTTAGGTGTTCACAAAAAAATACGATTACAGCTACATAATTTACTTCGATCATTTGTGTTTATTGTTCACTATTTTAAAAGGCAAAATTCCTGAACTTTCAAACCAATCAATTTAAATGCTTCAGGATTATAAAAATGAAATATATCAAATTCACAAAATGAACAAAGAACTCTGCCATGGTTCATTATGTCTGTGCCAGGATATTCATCTCTTCTCTGTTGGATCGGCGGCTTCTCATCTACAACTGATCCCATTCCCTCATGACCATATCCCTCTAACAATGAACGGTGCGATCTTCACTTCTTTTTTTTTTTTTTTTTTTTTTTGGAAATTTTTGCTTTTCAAAGACAGCATGAAGAGGAAGACTGCGTAAACATTTCAAACTATAAATCGATGCAAAAAATACAAGTCAAATGGAAAGAGAACCACAGAGAATGGTCCAGATTTGAAAAAATATTTATTGCTTTCACTGAAAGACTCACTACTGCCATTATAACGTTCACAGTACTATAATTACAGTTGATGAATTCCTCACAAATTTGAAAGATATCTACACTAAGTCGAGGAGACCAATAAACATACAAAAATAGTGTACAGCCGAGAAAGAGCAAATTCTACGACCATATAAGTTTGAAAACGTTTAATATGGAATATGAAGACAAAAAAGAAACTTTATAGGTCAATCTTAAACTTCATACGTTAATTGAAATTGATGTGGGTGCATACAATGCGTTCTTGCATATTGCAACATTAGCATATTTACCTTGTAAGACGGTGATGAATTTATCGTGGAATTTATTCATCTAACACCCAACTTCTAACAAAGTGCATCAGATCTTTGAGTACGTAACTGATCATCAACCCACGAACACATGCATATAAAGAAGAGACTCTCTGCGTGGTGTTTCACGGTTACCCGGCGTCTGCGATGATCACCTAGTCATCATGATTCAATACATCGGATCTACTCGCGAGATGTTGTAATAACGCTATGATGTCGTTCAATCAAACAGTCTTCTGTTCCATCTTCTTCCACATGTGAC